CGACTGTCATTGAACCTAAATGTGGCTACTACAATGATCCGATAGCTACCTTAGATTTCAGTTCCTTATATCCTAGCATTATTATGGCACACAACTTATGTTACACGACATTATTAACCATTGCTAATAAGAAAGAGCTCAATATTCAAGAGGACCAGATTACTACAACTCCTAGTAAATCGTTATTCATCAAGAATACTGTAAGGAAAGGAATCCTTCCGGAGATTTTGGAGAATCTATTGGCGGCTAGAAAAAAAGCAAAAGCAGAGTTAAAACAAGAAACGGATCCTTTGAAGCAAAAAGTACTCGATGGCAGACAATACGCCTTGAAAGTGTCGGCGAATTCCGTATATGGTTTTACAGGTGCGCAGATGGGAAAATTACCATGCTTGGAAATATCTGCTGTAAGTTCTCGATATTCTCAAAACATATTGAATGAAAAGAGCATTGCAAAATATATCACAAAAAATATAAAATATTCATAATAAATGTAATATAATAAATTGCAGAGCGTTACAGCTTATGGACGTACTATGATAGAGCAAACAAAGCAAGAAGTCGAGAATCACTTTCGAATAGAAAATGGATACAAAAACGATGCGAAAGTTATATATGGTGACACTGATTCTGTGATGGTTAAGTTTGGCGTGAAAGATATAGAAGATGCAATGAAACTCGGTAAAGAAGCGGCCGATTACGTGACATCTAAATTCATTAAGCCTATAAAGCTGGAGTTTGAGAAAGTGTATTTTCCGTATCTCTTGATCAGCAAAAAACGTTATGCTGGTCTGTATTTTACGAAACCCGATAAATATGACAAAATGGATTGTAAAGGTCTCGAAACGGTGCGCCGAGATAATTGTCCATTAGTAGCGAACATGATGAATACTTGTTTGCAAATATTGCTTATTGAAAGGTATTTTTTTCTTCACGCTTTATCTAAGTCGTATTTATATTATATAGATAAGTAATAAATAATATAATATTATATACACAGGAATCCAGATGCTGCTGTAGATTATGCCAAACAAGTTATTAGCGATCTTTTGTGTAACCGTATCGATCTATCTCAATTAGTCATCACGAAGGAACTGACAAAGACAGATTATGCGGCAAAGCAAGCTCATGTTGAACTGGCGACAAAGATGAAGAAACGAGACGCTGGAAATGCACCGAAACTTGGTGACCGAGTGGCGTACGTGTTCACAAGCGCAGCTAAAGGCACACCGGCATACCAAAAGGCAGAAGATCCCGTGTATGCACTGCAGAATAGTATCCCGATAGATACAAATTATTATCTGGAGAATCAATTGGCGAAACCTCTTGCACGTATCTTTGAACCTATCCTCGGCGACAAGGCAGAGTCGCTATTCCTGAAAGGAGATCATACGCGTACAAGATGCATCGCTACCTCACAAGTTGGAGCGCTCGCGGCTTTCACACGTAAAAAAGAGACGTGCTTAGGCTGTAAAGCTGTTTTACCACCTGACAGAGAAGACAAGGCAGTATGCAAGCATTGTGAACCTCAAGAGACTGAACTGTTTCATAACGAGTTGCAGGCTCAACACAAACTGGAAGAAAAGTTTTCCAAATTGTGGGCGGAATGCCAAAGATGTCAAGGAAGTCTCCATCAAGAAGTTATATGCTCTAAGTTAGTTGTATTAATTAATATAAAATATAATTTTTTAACATTGTGACTAATAATTTATTTCGGCTCGTTTCTATTGTATGTATGTTATGAATTTTATCATTTGAGCCATGTATTGTAATTTAATTTTTAATTAGTATACGCAAATTCTAACATGCAGGTTAATACATAACCATTGTACATCGGTAACTTATCATTGTTATAAATATATTATTTTGGCTCGTAGCTCCTGTATTTTAATTTGAATTTTTATTAATTGAACCGCTTATAATATTTAATTTTAATATAGAATACTCTTTCCAAATAGGGATATGTTTTTATATATATTAAATGAGTTAATATTTACACGTAGAAAAGTAAATATGAATAACATTCCAAAATAATTATTTTCAAATATATTTTCAGCCGTGACTGTCCAATATTTTACATGAGGGTGAAATCTCGATTAGACATGGATGCGAAAATCAAACGAATTAAAAGGTTTGGCGCACTGGAATGGTAGTAAAAATCGCACATCGTATAGGTAGGTTCATTTTATAAAAGCTATTACCTACTACAAACGAAATTACTATTATTTATATATAATGAATTTAATTTGAATATCTATTCGAACTGTTACGAAATATTTATGTATTTCTTATAAATTATTAAAATTTAGTAGGAAGTATAAATACATATTGCAAAACATATATTAAAACTTATTAACCGGTCTATTATTTGATTTTAATTGTTGCTAATCGGTAAAAATTATCTCAATACGAATATAAAAATTATTTCATATTAGTTATAAACTAAAATGTAACTCAAGATGAAACTTCTACATACTTGAAATCATTCCTAACACTAACACGATTCTTTCGCGGCACAGAATTCATTTTATTTCGTTTATATTGTGTAACAATTTTTATAAATGCTAGTATAATGTTGTATCCTATCCACTTTGAGTTTCATTTTAAATTTGTTTTACTCGTATTGAAAGAAAAAAATTGTATATAATGATTTAAGATACAATAAAGACAATGGTATATTATGCATAGATACGATTTAAATGTTTTGGAGTATTTTTGTTTTACGAGTTTGAACTTTTTTCAAAAATTTATTCTTGTTTGTCTAGTAATCGTGTTGTATATTTGATAGCAATATACTTGTATTCCCATTACAAACAATTTAGAATTCCATATCAAGTTCAATTATCGTGAATATTAAATGAATAGTGACAGTTATTTTGACTAAATTGTTTAATAAATGTTACGCATAGCAGTAGCGTAATAATAATACGAGATATTTATTAGTGCAAAAGATTCTAAGTTGAAAGAATTCTCTAAGTTTATTATCTTAAATATAGAAAGATAAAATGATCCCCTTATTGTTACATATTTCAGCCGTTATGAAAAAGTACTGCGATTCCTCAAATATTCTTGCTCTGTAAATTGTAAAGGAAATATTTAAAATATAATAATTACAATAAATAAACAAAACATCACGTGTCCGGTGACAACCTGACGACACATTTAGAGCGACAGTCATGTGACTAGTCCCCTTGTAAGGCTCAAATATAAATAACTGTGATGTAATATTGATCATTTTCTACTCTGCAGCGCATTCGACAACCAGTCCATGGCTTGGTCAAGCCCTTCGCCTTTCGTCGCGGAAGTTTTAAATATTTGGAAGGTTCTGTTTTTAAGAGCGTCCAATCCGAGCGCTTGATGGACCTCCGCGACACTAAGGCATCCCGCCATATCCTGTTTATTCGCCAGTACCACCAAGATCGCGCCTTGTAACTCTTCTTCCTGTTGAAATACAAAATACATTCTAAATTACTTATTTTTTTAAAAAACAATCGTTAATATTAATGTAAAATAATAGAAAAAATAAAGGTTTTTTATTTAAAAAATACTATGCATAATTATTAGTTCAAAAAGTAATATTACTTGTAACATGAGAATTAATTCATCCTTTGATATGCCTATTCTATCTCTGTCTGCTGAATCTACCACGTAAATTATCGCATCTGTATTGGAATAGTAACACCTCCAGTATGGTCTGAAAGTATAAATATGTTTATTTAAAATATATTTTATGAGCTACAATGACATGGCAGTGCTAAGATTTGTAATTCAAGGCATTAACTTAATGTGTATCGATATTCACACATGTATCTTGCTTTCTTTTCTTTAATGGAGATTGAATAAAGAAGACAACAGCCATAAATACTAACATACATCAAATCAATATACAATATTACAAATCTTGGATAGCTATGTACTGATATATGCACATGAGTTATTAAAATTTAGGATAAAAAAATAGTTCTACAAATTTTTTTTAAATCAACTTTCACATGTACACAAATTTGACATACCGTATACTCGTTTGACCACCGAGATCCCAGACTTGAAACTTTAAATTTTTGTAAGTAACTTGTTCTACATTGAACCCTATGGTTGGTATTGTAGTTACCACTTCGCCAACCTGTAACCTAATAAGCAATCAATTAAAGAACTTTGCTTATAGCAATTTCATAGTTAAAATTTTATATAAATAAATCATATATATATATTCATATTCCTTTCTTATCATCGTAGAATTACTACGTTTGGATATTTATATCATAGAATTATAAAATATAAATTATATACATTATTTATGATATTCACAATATTAATGTGTAATTACACAGCAAATAGAAAATAAATTATGTTTAAAATGTCGAAGATGTAAGAACTTCAAGGCACAAAGATGAAAAGATCCAAAATATAAAAAAAACTTCAAAGAAGTTAATAGTAATTAGATGGACCGTGTAAACACAAATGACAGCTAGTCATCAAGATAACGAGACTGTCAATGCAAACCTGTACAAAATCGTGGTTTTGCCGGCACCGTCCAGGCCTAAGATCAAGATCCGCATCTCGCGGCTACCGAGCAGGTTACGAAAGTAGCTGAGCAACCCACCTGTAAGGAGATATCATCAGAATCTCGCGTAAGAAACCGTAAGAAAAACCACCTCGATAATCGGAGTAGCGTGCGATATTCAGTCCCTTTTTTTTAAGGAATAAATGCGTGGCACAGAGCGAGAAATCGCTCGTTGTTGACTCACCCATGCTGACGTATCGTTAACTCCGAGTCATACAGGACCGTCCGATGTTTATTGTCAAACTTGATAACCATAAACGTGTCCAAATAACCGGGCCGCGCCAACCCTTCCTCGCTCTGCTGCATCCACGGTATACGACCTACTTCAGTCTGCTCACTGTCAGGGCCGCCAACGTGCCACGCGGAAAATTGAGATTTCGAAAGTCACTAATCAGCCGGCTCATCGCGCAGGGATTCGCGAACGGTCATTGCACTTTTTTTTAACCAATTTAGTGCGTTCCCAAATTCATCGAGAAAAAATTATTTTAACCTTCCGTGCACCTTTTAATTCTCCCTCGCAAACGCGAGCACACCACTTTGCAGTTCTCATACGTATGGATCCATTTACGAACGTAAACCGGTGACCGTGCACGTTGAACAGTGAACTGGTGACGTTGAAAGTTCCGATCGGGGAAACAATGCGCGTTAGTTAGAGATTCGTTGATCTACAGCTGTATTGATTGAGTTGCTTTAATTTAATAGGAACGCCACAATTATTGACGATTATTGACGGCACAATAATGCACACGTTCCTAACACGAGGAAATGCTATCTTGGCATATACGTTAAGCGTTTCGGCCTGCCTCACATTTTGCTGTTTTCTCTCGACAGTTTTTATTGATTACAGAGCGAACGCTACGTTAAATACGGTTAAAGTTGTCGTGTAAGTATCAAATGTGAATGTATAAATATGATGTGTCATACAATTTATATTACACAGTTTATTTCATTTCAATTAAATCACATTTATGTTTCTTTCATAAGGATCCATATTGTATTTGTGAGTCGTACTGTGCAAGAAAATAAATTGTTCTACATTGTCTTAAATATACAAATATTGAGAAACTAATGTATCAAAGATTAATACATGTTACATATAATTTTCCATATTTGCAATTGCTATAGTAAATTCACTTTATTTTGCAGAAAGAATGTACCAGATTACAGTGCATCGAGAGAAAAGAACGATCTGGGTTACTTGACTTTTGATTTACAAACTGATATCCTTTTCACACAATATTATATAAGTGTTTGTTATTAATTATTTTATTTATATGAATCCGATCTAAATTATATAATATCTAATCGCGCGCAGTCTCATGTAATTTACATAAAAATAGCTCAGCTTTGATAAAGATAATTACTTATACCTCATCTAGATTTCTAATAGTGTATTTGATTTATTGATTTGACTCAACTCCGAGCCAATGGTCTATTTTGTTTAGTTGCAAAAGAAGAGCTAAAATATGCAAGAATTACAATTAAAAAGAACAGACCTTGATTTGGAGTCGGGTCGAGTAAGTAAATCGAATATACTATAACTTTATAAAAAAAATTAAAATACCATGAGTGAAGATAACTTATTTTGTTCTGTAAAATAGCATATTTTACACACTGAGAACCATGTTCAACTTTCACTGGTCTTTCTAATTATTTTTTTAATTCATATATTTTAAATTATATTTGCCTTACAAAACTTTCACATCTTACTCCATTGTTCAATTGGAATGTTAAGCAATTATTCTTATACCTCACGGCAGAATATCAGACAGAAAATAATGAATTTAATCAGGTATGTCTTTATTTAATCAGGTTTATTAATTTACAATATATATTCTCCTTTTTTCTTAAGATCAGTTTTTAAATAAAATTTATAATGTGTTTGACAGGTAGTATTATGGGATAAAATAGTTCTTCGTGGAGATAATGCTGTTCTAGATTTCAAAAATATGAATACAAAGTATTACTTTTGGGATGATGGCAAAGGTCTCAGGTAGAGTTGATTATTGTGGCAGCAAAGTTTTTCTGCAATTTTTGTTAATCTTACGTACACAAATACGTTTTTTGCTTTTTATTTTTACAGGGGAAATAAGAATGTAACGTTAACACTGTCCTGGAACATTATTCCAAACGCTGGATTGTTACCTAGTGTTAATGCTCTTGGTTCTCATACTTTTGCATTCCCGCCTGAATACACAACATTACGTGTATAACGCATATTTAAATGTATATGTGTTACGATTGTATAATATGATTTTGTAAGACTTATTTAAATTGCATAAAATTCATGTACAATAAACAACGTTTATTTCTTCACGGTCATTTCTTTATTATATTCAACATTATATTTGCTTTCAATTTTTGCTTGTTATCATCTATATTTGTTTAAAATGGATTATCAAATTTAAATATTGTGCATATTAAATGTATGTATACTTAGGAATTGGAAATCAATTTATATTTTACAAAATATTGAAATTGTCCCTTTTTTTGAATTCTTATACTTCTTTCCGCATATTTGTGCGTGATTTAACTTGATAATTGATATTTCATTTTCAATTATATTATTCAATTATACTATTTTACACTGTAAATAAGTGCTAAGCTTTATTTTTACTATTCTCTGGAGTTTCTTGCATTATAGTATCTTTCTTTTCTTCGTCCGTACTTGTGGATTCGTCATCGTCTTCTATGTCATCCTCATCATCTTCGTCTTCATCATCATCATCATCATCATCGTCATCGTCATCATCATCATCATCATCATAGTCATCATCATCTTCATTGTCATTGGAATAGCTAACAGTTCCATAACAAGACTCCTGATTTCCTGCTGAACAAAGAAAATCTTTTCTCAAAGATATAAAAAAATGAATACATTCTTAATTTTTTTAGAATCTTGAATGCTCATTTTTATCAACACAGATTAATCTCAATTTGAATTACTTTTTATCTTTCTCTAATACCTAAAACTAGAAAAGAATAAAAAGTAAGTCAAAGTTAATTTACATTGACGGAAACATAAATTTTTATTAAAAACAGAAGAGAATCTTGGTTTACCATAATTATATCCGTTTTCATCATCAGATTCAGATGGACCACCTTGGTTTTGTCTACCAAACTTGTGATTTCTCGCTATAAAAGAAATTCGAATAAATCAAACTCAATATAACAAGTTTTACAATAATATACACGTAAATGCTTACTAGACATGCTTAGATCCTTAGTCTGTGATGTTTCGTAACTGCACTTTGGACAAGGGATAGGTTTGTTCTTTTCATATTTAAAGCCTTTTCTACGAACGTGATCTTCACAATAGCATGTTTTACACCTAAGACAAGAGTATTGTCCCAAACGATTACATGATTGGCCTGGAAATTTTAATTTACGTTAAAATACAATTGGAAACTAAATAAAAATGTAATGTTCCTTATGTATATCGCCTATTACATTTGAAACTTTCTGCTTCCAATACTTGGCATGATGCTTGATGTTCAAATTGATCATCCTCACATAAGAAGCAATCACAGAATGAACATTTAAATATTCTTCCTCCATGATCCCAAACGCCTCTATCGCATTCCTGACAAATGGCGTCCATCAGTGGACAGATGCAAGCGTGACTGGTGAGACAACGTCTTCCGTGACATACCCAAGCTTCACAGTAATCGCATATGGCTCCCTAAAATACTTCATTTGTGATAGCATATTCTAATAAATATTTAAAGAGACAGCTCTATAATGTAATAGACATAGATTTACTTGCCACCATTCCTAATCCTGTGGTGAAGATCCCAGGATGACGCACAACGCAGTCTCCTGTCTTCAGCATACATTTAATCTTGCCACAGTGCGCGCATATGGGCAATCGCTGTAGACTCTGACAGAAATAACAGAAGGCACGACTCTTTTGCTTCTTATTGCACTTGTCGCATTCCTATGAGATGAAATAATATTAGAATCATGAAGTAGATCATTTTAAGGTTTGTTTTTTATTACTGGACTGCATACAGAAACTTCACTCACGTATACCCAGTATTATTTTATCCTTGTTTGACTATATACTTCAAAATGTCCTCTCTGAGGAAAATTTTATTTGATACAATATAAAGAGAGAGTTTGTTTACTATGGTTAGTGTACACTTTCAGAGCTTAAAATGAGATAGATACATGTTTGATATTTGACAAAAATGAGAAAGAGAGTTGTAGTGCACAATCTAGTATAGGAATAAAAAACAGACCTCTAGTATATGCATTACTTGTATTACATATTTTTCAAATAAAATTTTCCTTGAAGAGGACGTTTTGGAACGTAGCTTTGGTGAACAACAAGGATAAAATGATAATACCTTGAATTTGTGAACACACCCCTGTACTAGATTGCAACTTTCATTTTCACTTTCGTTCAATTTCAAGCATGTACCTAATTAACCTAATTTCACTTTAAGTACAATTGTAATAGTTTAACTATAAATAACAATTACGATCGAGAAATACTCGCCATCACGGAGTTGCAAGGAAATTTGGCCAGGTCAATCTGCTCCTTGGCAGCTCTGATCTCCTTCTGCCGAAGTTTCTGCTTCTCCGCCTTCTTCCTCTGCCCGGTTTTCTTCTTCGGCATTTTGTTCTGTAAACAGGACGCGTACTGCAAGAAACCCGACTTTCCGGCTTTTGAGATTACAAGACGTGCGTACAAATCACGCGAAGTTGCGAGAGGTTGCAACAGGTTATGGTTTTGAACGCACACCACGGAGACCGAAGTATGGACATCATTATGAGAGTCGAGTAATCGATTTTTGAACCGCGTGACAGCTGTTTGATCAGAAGGGTTATTTTTTACAGTTGCTGTCTGATATTATACTGTAAGGTATAAAATTAATTATTTAGCATTTCGATTAATGGAATGAGATACTATGAATATAAATAAGAAAATTTACTCTTTCAGAATTGACTTGTTAAATGGAAGCATTGAATGATGGTAAAGAAAACCGCCAAATATTGAATAACAACGGAAGGTCTAAGTCGCCGTGTACTGTTGAGTCCCTGTTACTGCTGGATAATACGCTATTATGTAATATAGAACCTGACAATGGATTATACGTTCCAGTAGATACTCGCCAGTATTTCCAAGAGCACAATGAGACGGCACAAGTTTCCAAAGAGTCGCTGCAAAGCGTTGCAACCGATGCAACAGTTAGCTCCAAAATATTCTGTGTGTCTCCCAATGCGAATGAATGGCAGGACAAAACCTTGATGAATCAAATATTTGCTCAATTTGATTCACAGAATGAGGAAGAAATTAATTCAGAGAGTTGCAATAACATAAGCAATTATGATATATTTGATACATTTTACAAAGAGGATACAAGGTCTGACTTAGACAATATAGATCAAAATGTGGAGAAAGTATATCAATTACGTAAAAATATATTACATCAAGATAAATTAATGGATGCATCGTGTTTGCATATCACAAACTTTGGTGACAATACTTTGGAAGATAATGATTTTAAAAAGGATGATAAAGATAGGTCACCAATTTTAAAAACTAAATCTAGACCCTTAAATCAATGTAAAATCTTAAAAAAAAAACTACGTTTTTCTAATGATGTACCAATACCAAAAGGGACAAAAAATGAAACAAATTCCACATATTCTTCATTTTACGGTTTACCAGACACTGTGAAAAAATTGATACAAGAAGTCAAGGGAATTTGTGAATTATATCGTAAGTTTACAATAATATAAGTCGAATTTGTAAGAAATAAGAATGATTTTTAATGTTAATTGTTTTATACAGAATGGCAAGACGAATTCTTAAAATTGGCTATTAATACTAAGAAGAATTTAATTTATGCTCTGCCAACAAGTGGCGGCAAAACTTTGGTTGCAGAGATATTAATGTTCAGGGAGATTATATGTAATAAAAAAAATGCTATTTTTATACTTCCATATGTGGCCTTGGTACAGGAAAAGGCAGGTCACTTTGAAATTGATATATTAGAAAAAGCGATTGTGTGATCTAGTATATTAATTGAGCTCATAAATTTATACATGCAGGTTCAATCAATGGCTATATTAGCATTAAAATTAGGATTTTTAATCGAAGAATATGCTAGTACAAAAGGACGTTATCCACCAATTAAACGGCGAAGGAAAAACAGCCTTTACATATGTACCATAGAGAAAGCGTTAGGACTTGTAAATAGTTTAATAGAAACAAAACGCTTAACTGAAGTAAGCTGAAATATTAACAGGGAATGGAAAGTTACTTTTTAAAAGTAACAAGTTACAGTTACTCGTTACCGAGTAGGAAAAGTAACAAGTTACCGTTACTAGTTACCGATTTTTAAAAGTAACTCGTTACAGTTACCGTTACTTGAGAAAGTAACTTTTCGTTACTTTTCCGTTACTTTTTTTTAAATCGACGACCAACAATCACAGCGGACTGGCCTAGAGGCTTCTTTAGTCTCAAGCGCATTGTAA